TTTCGAGAGGCTTCAAGTTGCGTAGCAATAAATATCGAGCTCTATTGCGACGCAAAGGCAAAAAGAGCACAAAGCGGATATAAAAGAAAGAGGAATGGTACGCTCGATTAAAAGCATTCACACCATCGTTTGCAGCCCCGATTGCTCTGCCTGGAATATTCAAAGAAGCCATTAAATCTCTTTCTCCATTTAGTCTACGCGACAGTTCTACCCTGCATCTTCGTTTAAACATTTAAATGTATTTGAAGCGCGTTTCAATCTATAAGCGCGTGTTTAAGGAAAGTTATTAAAGCTAGATATATTATTAATAACAAGCAATATAATTTTAACGAGCTGTATCTTTTTCGTCTTCAGGCAAAGTTTTTTCGCCATTTTTTCCGTGTTTAACAACCACTTCCGCCCGTTATTGGCAATAAAAAGCATCAAGTTACAAGCATCTTCTCGTACGAAAGATTTTTTTTATACAAAAAAATAAGTAATTCGAAATTAAATAACGTGATTTTGTAAAGACAAATAAAATAAAATTTAAATTTAAAAAATTTTTCTTACCTTTTTCATAATCAGCCATTTATAAACTCAAGGCCTAATACATTTGGTGTTTCGTCTGGAGCGTAAACATTTCGTAAATCTAAATTTATTCATGATATCATCAAATGCGCTTCAGATCGTATCTTATTTCGATTGTGATAGATAAAGATATTATTATTTTACGGTTTCCGCGAAAAGACGGAAGAAGTACCTTTAGGATGATGAATTAACAGAGAGAAAGTATTCATTTATCACAATGAGCATATTACTTATGTTTGTTGACAAATCAAAAAAGTATGAAGAAAGTGATGTGAGAGGAATACCAAATATGATCACTGAATGCATATAAAGACTTATTATATGTTAATATGACGCTACTTACATCGAAAAGAAAAATATAACTTAAATTCATTATATTTAGTTAATATTATAAATTAAATGCTATTTTCCATATATTGTATTTAGAATTTTTATTTGTCAATCTGCTTATTATCTTCATCTATTTTCACATAAGCGATTAATTATATATTTTCAATAAAGAATTAAAAAACTTTGAAACAATTGAAGATAAACGAGAAAATAAAAAGATTATAAGGTAATAAATTAATTTAACAAGAAACTAATTATAAAGAATTAAATTGATTTTATCTTCTCAATACAACATTACAATGGAATTTATTTCTTTATTATAAATTTTAAAATATTTCTGCCATTTTATTTTTAATTTTTTGTTTTTATTCTGAATTTTTATTACAAAATATTTTTATTTCAAAATTAGAAAAATATCAATCTGATTTACTATGGTACAATATCTGTTTCTGAAAGCAAAAGTAATTCGAGCCTGGGAGAGACAGAATTGTCTGCGACAAATTTCCTGTCCCACATGATACATCGACGCATACTTCCGTTTGCGCGTGGCTCCAAGCTCCAGTCACCTGAAAAAGTCAAGAGGAAGACGACCCTCCGGCCCAAAGGTATGCTCTTGCATCCAGGTCGCGTACAAAGATCCTTATTGGTCGACGACGGCAAACCTCATGAAGGCTCTAGGGATCTCTCAGGAATTTTCAGGAGGGAGCTATGCCTGTACGACGTGTCCTGTATCAAACTTGGCGCGAATAGCTCGTAAGACAAATCTCCTACGCAACATGGTATGGCTGAGTCTCGTGAGCCGCTTTGAAATTCGACACCCGATATACCACGTTGCTTCCAGCGTCAATCACAAACGTATATTCAAGAAAGAAGAAAGCTTTACACACGAATATTCACGCACGGCGAGAGCAGACATCGTTTGGGAAAGACCCGGCTAATTTTGCTAGCCGCCACGTCGCGTTGGCCGGGGCGACCCGCAGTGCACGAAAATGTTTCTGAGAGGCATGCAACCGGAATTCGTATTTGGACGTAGCTAACGATTGCTTCGACCTCCTTCGATAAACGATCGAGCTACGTCTCAACCGTGCTGCATTTTCCGAGCTATGATCGAGCTTTTACGCCTGCGACGTTTATGGTCTGACACAAGCCGGACTATATCTACTGGATGTGTTGGGATCTTCTTTTTCTAATGACAATATATTTTTCATTTCAGCGAAAAAAATATAAATCGTCTAATTTCAAAATGTGTAATCTTGTAATGTACATAATCTTGAACGATAAAGAAATAATATTTAATTGAAACAAGCAAAATATTTATCAATATATCTTTGAACTACTTTTTAAGATGAAATAAAAAAAGTACTTATCTTAGTTTGTATCAAAATTAAAATAATTACTGTTTCGAAAATATTACGTTTAATTTAAATAATTAGCTATTTATAATAATGTAAAAAATAAAAATGCATTATAATTTTATTTTAATAATTACTATTTTTTTACTACAAATTTCTCTTTAATTGTATATGATGTATTTATATATATTAATTATAATATATATACATAATATATATTATAATTATACATATTAGTAATACATCTTTTTTATACATATGCACATATATATTAGGAGTTTGCATATATGAAATTATTTACATATAAGAACGTGTATTCTGTTTTATAAATAAAATTTAAATACTTTAATCTTTAAACACTGAATACTTTACAAAGATCTCTAATATAAATCAGTTATATTAAATGTCTACAAATATTACTATGTTTTTATTTGTCGTTTTACAGAATTTCATTTCCTGCGCGTACTATTCTGAATTCTTGAATTCTGTACTATTCATATACAATGCGGTAAAGTCAAACAGATACAATTCTAACGAAATAATCATAATAAAGCAACGAATTTAATTACAAGCTTTCGAGATCTACAATGTTCGCAACGATAGAAACATTACTGCTCCGTTTCGGTTGTAATTTCGAACTAAAAATAAAAATCTCAACGCATGGAAATGTAAATCAGTGCAAGCAATAATTATCATAATAAAAAAACATTTCTCTACTTGTCCTATAATTCAAGCGTGAACACACGAAACACGTGCGAAAGCGCAGCGGAAAATATTATACATTGCAATGCAGAATTTAACAAGTTATCGTTGCTTAATAAATAAATACATATTATAGATCCGCATCATTACTATTTAGAAAGCTTTTCAACTTAGCGGTATTTCCCAAACACCCGGTTTAGTCTACGGGTGGAATAAGCGGACGCGCGACCTGGACCTTTGGACGATAAAGTTAATGGACTTCATTTACATTGCATAATTGCGACGAAAGCGGAGCCAGCACTCAAATTATACGCAAGGACCAACGACCAGAACCAACAGCAAAGGTACTCTTTGAATATTCGGTATGTTTAAAACACTCATTTATACTGTACACGTCTGTTAAGTATGCCACGGATTTGCAACATTGAGAATTAATTGTGATTACAGACGTAATGTTTAAATATATTTTTATTGCATTAAGTTATCATTAAAATTTATAATAGAAAGAATAAATTACAATTAATAATCAGGTATATTTTGAATTAAGTATGTTTCACATTCTTTTTATATGAGATTTATCATCTTATGTCTCAACAAGTTTATCTCAAAATATATAATAAACATATTTTTATTTTTATTTGCAAAAACCTCCATAAAATCTGCAATGTTAATTAATCTGTATTAATAATCTGCAGAAAGATAAATAAATCACTAAAAAACATTAAGTAAAAATTAAAACATTGCGTTTTTTCTTCAATCTTATCTATGCAAATACTCTGCATACTAAGATTTGCATATATTCAAATAAACGTAATATTTGTGATTGGATTACAAATTGTTTTTTTTTTTAATATATATTTAATGTAATAATTGGTATTAAACTTGACAACCATATTAATCATTTTTATTTAAATATAAAATACAGTTTGTAACTTAAAAAAAATGTTAATTATTTTTTTAACGAAATTTATAATTTTTGTCATCCTCTGAACTTTCGAAAGAATTATAATCATTATAGAAGAATCTGAAATTTCGTCCTCATTTACATTATGTCGATGTTAATTTTCCTTATTCTAAATTCCGTCAGAAATAGTTTCTTTGTTAAATGTATTGATGTTGACCTTGAAGAGAAATAAATTGTTGTAAAATGTGCAATTTTAAATGGTGCGCAATATATAGAAACAGAAAAATAAATAGAAAACACGTTTTTTTCGATGTCTTTTTCTATTTATTAAAAAATCGGTATTCTTACATCTCTAGAATAGAATGCGTTTAGAATTATAATAATAATAATTTTATATATGTA